CCCCTCCACCCCACCCCAGAAGGAGAGAAAGACAGCCCAAGGCGCTTCCCCCGCTTCTTGGATCACGCCCAGCTCGCCCCGTCCACCCCTCACTGGCCTCCCTGTCTCCCCAGCATCACCCATTCCCAGGTTCCGCCTTCACCGCCTCAGTTGCTGGGGGGTGTGCCTGCCGCTCCACGTGCTCAGGAACTCTGCCAGGCGGCCAGACAGCGCCATCCTAAACGCCCAGGCAAACATCCAGGTGGCTGGAAGCCGCCACTCGCCCTTGTCCACAGCCTGTGCAGGACTGTCCTTGGAATTTTATTCAACCAAAGACCCCTGAGTATGAACCGTGGGGAACAGTCAGAGGGGGAGGCCCCCTGCTCCCTTCTGCGATTGCCCCTGATGCTCGGGAAGACCTGGCTCCTCACTCAGAGAGAAAGGGCGCTGGGCTCGGAGGCTAGAAGTTGCTTCCTCCTAATGAGGGAATGGGAGCTTCTGGGAGAGCAGCTGTGTGAGCTGGGCCCCCTGGTACCCGAAGGGTGGAGTCCAGCTGTGTGCAGGGGGCACAGAACTCCCCGAGGGGCCCACCCATCAGTGGGGTGAGGGGTGGTCACATGGACTTCCTGGGTGGGCACATGCAATAGACATGTGTTCAGAGTTACACGGACATGCATGTTGTTCCTGGGGGTTCCAGTCTGTCTGTCTGTCGGGTTCTCTGTGTGTCTCCAGGTGCATTGCCCCCATCTCCTCCCCCACCATGTGTGCGTGGACGGGCTCTCCTCCATCCTAACCTACCCCCCCCCCTTAGTATTCTGACTGCCTGTGAATGAGGACAGCTTCGGGGGGAGGATTTTGCTTCTGGATGAGAGGACTTGGGAAGCTCGGGGTGTCACAGGGGTTTCCTGGCTGTGAGGAAGAGGCCCGCTTTGTTGGGGAGCACCACTGAGTGCTTCTGTCAGAGGTCCCCAAACTCTGCATCCTTAGCGTGTTGGTAATTTTTCTTGGCATCTCTAGATACCAAGAAATACATCACCCTGTAAACAACTCGAGCATTTACGTTCTAAACATGTAATAACTGTTTTTAAAAATTAAGACACAAATTAAAAGGACACATTTTTATTTCATTCTTAAAGAAACACAATTACTTACTAATAGGATGTTTGAGCCTATTGGGAATGGCACACCTTCTCAATCCTTGAACACCGCCACCCTCATTTTTGGATCCACATAGATTTTCTCCTGGTGATTGCTTTTTCTCACAGCAATGGCCAAAAACACAACTTCCCATAGATATGAGCCACTGAAAGGAAAGTAGCGTGATCTCGTGTTGAAACAACCATCCTGAGCTAGTAGTTTATGTGATATCAGACAGATGTTACGTATTGCTGTATTTTCCTTCACTAGTTTAAATATCATGCTATACTCATGTTCCCGGGGGTACCCTGACACACAGTTTGGGAACCGAGGGCACCTGCCGTGAGCCGTCCGTAGTGGGCGGCCTAGATGATGAAGGACTTGTCCCCAGCTGCCCCTGGGCTCATATCTGCCTGTGTCTGCCTCAGTTCAACTTGGTTTGTGATCAGAAGCACCTGAAGGAGACCTCGCAGTCCGTGTACATGGCCGGGCTCCTCATCGGCGCTCTCATCTTTGGGCCCCTCTGTGACTGGTAAGAACTTG